AGACTTCGTGAAAGTCAATGGTTTCGTGAGTCCTACTCATCTCTTGGCACATTCACTATTAGTCATTCTCAATTCTAACCAAACTACGAGCCTTCACTTAATCTAATTTTATGGTTTCCTATAACTCAGTTAAACCGAAACCTTTCACTTCTATGTAATCATAGTGTACAGTGATGAACTATCAATTAATAATCCTGCTTTTAAGTACACTCGGGAATCAGCTGTAAATTTGCGGATCCTGCTTTTGCCTTCGTCTAGTTTTCCGCCTTATAGATGTGTCTATCACTAAATGGACCCTAAGGTTGGTGTGATTTTTTATAATCTGTTTCTTACTTTGTTTCTATGATTGTTTTCATCTAGTTAATTCAATCTGATGTTCTATTTTTACGGATACAAGACTATTCTCGGAACAGCTTTTTAATGCTATCGTTTACTTCTTTATATTTTAGCTCAAACAAGCTTTTTCCATGGTGAAGTCAATACGCGCTCGCATTTTTCGAGAATAGTTCTCTATAGGAGTCTGCACATTGTAGCGTCAAGACTACACCTTATTTTCTCATTGCTCATGCTCTCAAAACTTTTATTTTGCTTCATCTGTCAATATATTGCATATTCATGTTTATCCATTAAAAGATTGTCGTTCTTTTTATGTATAAAACTATTATTTGATCCTCATACATACTGTAAAATGCATATTTTCCGCTTTTTGTTCTAATTGAGATGGGTATACATCTTGCAAGGGCATTATAGGTATACAAATATTCTTTATTTAATAATTTCGTTTTTTAATAGTCTATGCTTTAGTCAATAGGGCACTTTGCGCGCTTTTAAGGATACTATCCAGTTGTTACCTAGTTTTGGCAGAAAAAATCAGTTGTGTGTGTTTGTTTTCTCCTGTCGAATTATCAGTTTGGTTTTGATGGGAAATTTACAAACATGCACCACTTTATTCTTTTGTTAAATGTTGTCAACAGAAAAACCTTAACACATTGATTCCTTGTGTATAGTTCTAACCACAGCATTTGTGCAATATAGTCTTAAACGTTTATTTTACAAATTAATCACATTTTGGCCCAGACCTGCTGTAGGCGCTGTCTAGTCCTCGTCTCCTTTTTGTATGTGCTGGATTGGAGGCGTTTTTCGGCCATTAGGCGACCTCGGGTTTGTCTCACTTTTTCCATTGCTCCGAAGGCCCATGCTGAGCTATTTGCTTTTGAATTTGCACTCTGTTAACGTCGGCAGCCTTATATCGCCTTCTCTACGGCACATAAGATTCATGTCTTGACGCGGCCTCACCAGCAGCCCAGTCCTCGACTGCGTGTGTAACCTCGCCGGTGTCCGCGGAAGCCGGACCGTCGTGCCCGCCAGAGCATCACCAGAAAAGCCCTCCAGCCGTCCTGCTCTGAGGACGTCATCGTCCAGCGAATCGGCGGTCTGGTCTCTGGGCCGTTCGCTGCCATTCCTGCCGGTCGGTGTAGCCGCGGCGGCGTACTCAGGCGGAGGGTCCAATCGCATTACGGGCTCCCCGGCCTCGTTCCAAAAGGGCGAGCGAACTCGTTCGCCCTTGCGTTGGCGGAAGGCCATCACTCGGAACGCATTGTTCAGGTAGTCCCGGAGTTTTCCGAGCGCCATCGGTTCTGTGAAAAAGTGGTCCGAGCCATACTGCAACTGGGCCTGTCTGAGGACGGCGCCCATCACGGTCGGGTCAATCGGAGCCTTGCCCCCGGATCCGTTGTAGTTGTGCGTCACAAGGTAGGTGAGGCTGAAGAGGCTCTGCAGCAGGCGCAAGCAGAGTCTGGGGCCCAGCTCATGAGGAGCCCCACGCACCATGCCCAGACATTTGCGGTACGCCCAGACCGGCAGACACACCGTGTGCACTCCACCCACGAACATCTCGCGCGGCTCTTGGGGATTGAGCACCATTGCTGGTCTGTCCGTCGAGACGCCGCCTGGAAGATTGCCGGGACCCAGACTCGGGCCGGGGGCCTCCTTTCCCGGCCCCGGCGCCAAGGGCTGCGAGTAGAGTTGGTGAGGGTGCTGAGGATGCGAGTGCCCGTTGGCTCGGCCGCCCTGGAGGCCAGCGGACGAGGCTTTTGTCGGGCTTTCTTGGGCGTTTGTGCCCTCTTGGCCGCAGTTGTCACCGCAACTGGCCAAAGAGATGGCCGGTGTAGCGTTGGTGACGTGTTTGACGGCCGCCAGGAGGCGAGATCGAGTCGCCGCCTCGCTCTGAAAGTAACCCGGCTGCGTGTGGAACTGGCTGTATGCTTCATGGAGGTGGTGGGCCTGCCGGTTCAGGCCAGTCGGTAGGGCCGGGTAGGGGCTGGCGACTGTGGTCAGGGCCTGTGTAGACGTCACTCCGCTTGTCTGCGAAAGGTAGGCCGCGGCCAGACGAGCCCGCAGGTCTCGGCCGGCCTCGAAGCCGCCTCCGGTTGATTGGTGCCGAGGCCCGGGCAACGCGAAACCCCGCATGCTCAGTCCCGCCAGCGGAGTCAGCAGTCCTGTGTGCGACGGTGACGGTGCCGGAGGCAGAAGACCCGTTGCCAAGGCGCCGGCATCGCCCGGTCCTGTGGACGCTGGTGGCTGAAGGAGGCTGCTCTGGGTGTTGGCAACCATGGCCTGAGTTAGCGCACTGAGGCCACAGCAGCCGGGACTATCCGACACCGACGGACCGTCGCGTAGGACCGGCTGCGGACTGAACGATGACGTCGGGCCCAACAGCATCGTTTGACCGACTGGTCTGGAGGCGGAAGTGCCTTTGTCGCGCTCCTTTTCACGCACACTGTCCGCGAAGACGGCTGCCGCTGCGGCCGCGGCCGCAGCCACGAACGGAAAGGCTGAAAAGAGGTCCAGCGGCCCCGGAAGAGTCTGTTCCGGAGTCTCGATCAACTTGCCTCTGGGGCCGATCAGACCCTCGTCGGAGCAGTTGATGTCCCTCTTCTGTGGTTCGCCCTCCTCGCCGCCTCTCTTGGCTCCAGGCGACCCCGGGACTGGGCCGAAATTAAGGCCGGACGTCGGAAGACCAGGCAAGATCGCACTTGGCGAGCCGGAGTTCCATCGTGAAGCGTCGCTGACGCCAATCCCACCATCCCCTGGTTCACCGTTGGCGCTTTGTCCGTTTGACAGGATGGTATGTCCAGGACGGGTCTGGAAGATCGGCAGGAGGCTGGACATTCCAAGTCGACCCGTGGACTCTGCTCTTCCCGACGTGAAATATTGCATTTCCGGTATCCGGTCTTCTGTTGCCATGGCTAGCTCTCTCGACGTTTCCGGCCGTGTCTCTCTCTTTCTTTCGGCCTCAATCAGCCCGGCCAAATCGGCTCTGGCATCTTCCATTGTGTACAGACTGTTGGTAGTGAAGCTGAATTGTGTCTTTTCGTCTTCTTGAACAGAATCCTCGGACAGCCTCACGCTTCTGTTAAGTGGACCGGAGCTGATCTGCTGGGAGTCCGGATTCTGAAGCTGGACACAGAAAAAAAGTGGATCGAGACATTATTTTGATATTACCATTTTCTGCAGCCAAGGCCACTCGAAACACCTGCCATTCTTAGCAAAACCATCGTACACACTGTCTTAAACAGAGCTGGGCACTTTCTATCATAACTGACTGATATCACTACCGCCAAGTTGCAAAAATCACATCAAATTCATTCCAAGTCATCAAAAGAAAGGAGATGTCTCATGCGAAGATTCGCAAGTCGATCTCATAGCACGACACCGGACTTCTTTTTTGGCCATTTATACTTTCAAATTGTATGTGAATCACATCTGTCGCATGTGCCATTTCTACAACTACTTCGATCTAACAAATCAAGCAAACTTATACAATATGCCGATCCAGACATTTGCCCGTATTTGCTTGCGTATGCTTAGCATGCTTTTACCAGGACCGAAGGGGGATCGTATTAACCATAAGGTACCAGTCAAACCAAATGACAACTGCCCTGCAGAAAGTATGGATTATAAAGCACTTCGAATGTGTATGTAAAGTGGGTTTTGTCGAGGAGATCGTATCTGCGCCTCAACTAACCGTTGCTAACTTTGCTACCCGTGTCTGAAATAGCCTTAACTTGATGGGTTTGGCATTTGTATAGTGACAGCCAAAGGCATTCGTTCTTGTGCCAACCTCAAGTTACCCTTACAAAAAACAAATGAAAATGAGCACAAACGGTTATTTTTAAATTAAACAATTTTTGCTATCCCAGGTGATAGTTTCTATGCGAACCGTGCCATCACCGTGACGTATCTGCTTCCGGTACTGTGAAGTCTCATCACGTTTCTACCAGCTTCTTTCTATTCTTCGTCTCGGGGATCGAATGATCGTCTAAGGTTGTAGACGTCTGATTAACCTTGCCTATTTTGCCTCTATTGTTGGGCATTTCAAAGGATCTATTAAGGTGTAGTCGTGGCTGCGCATGTCAGGCATTTGCAGACACGCAGATCAATGTGTTTGATTGTGCATATACAGGGAACTGCTGGCAACTGCGTTTGTATTGAGTCGGCTTTTCTTTATAATTATAAAACAGTTGAAGTGCATTCGGCATAAAACACTGCCGCTATTGCAGAAGGAGGTCTTTTTTGACGCTTCCTCATGATGTCTGCTTGGCTCGAGTTGGCAGCGAGGTACATCTATTCATGTGCCTTCTCTGGTATGTGGAGAAAGTATTTAAAAATCGCTCTCTCGGCCGGTGCTTAAGTGTAAATCTTCAGAGCTGACTTAAGCTTCATGATAGATCTCTGCATAAAAATTTCAACAACTGTTTTTCCCTATCTTAAACACACTTTAATCAGTGACTTTTGCTTAGGCAGCCCACTTCTTAGGAGAGGATATGACACGATCGAGAGCTCTATTTCGAAGGGTAGTTGGCAGCCTCCTATTATTGGGCTGCAACAAAGTGAAATTCGGGCTATTTCAAGGTAGTGACTGTCTAATTTTTCCTAACGTATTTTTTCAGCGTTGATTCTTGACTGGAACACGTCTGTGCTAAAGCGGAAAGCACCTGTGAGGTACTGTATTGAAGCAATTTGGTGTGCAGAGAACATCCATTCTCTGATAGCCATCACTTTTTCACTGGCACACTTTATGTTGAGTTAACTGTTAAACTCGGTATCAATTTAATGTTACTTTGGCGTCCGCAGGCAACAAAGGATTAGCGTTATTTTTTGCATGCACATTTACTTGACGGCATTAGCCTAGACAATTCCGTCTGGGCCTCAGCTCCATTCCACCGAATGGTGTATTCCATAGCAAATTCGGCACAATATATGTTTTTTAATAGGAACTTTCTAGGGTTGTTGGGCCAAGTTTATAGTCTCTGCGACCTCTTCAAAAGTATGTTTAGTGACTGCTAGCGTCTGCTGGCAATCCCAATTCAATCGGATCCCTTCCTTGATGGATCACTATCTGATGCCTCGGTGAAACTAGCATATTTTGATTCGTTAAATGGAAATATTCATCTTAAACTCAGTCTTTTTATTGAAAGAGTTGCACTTAATGTTTTTATGAACTGGTTATCAGCTGATCATGGGTATTCAAGTCAGCCTAACGAAGTCACCTTGGCGATCAGAACAGCCTGTACAAAACCATCGTTAATCTGTTTTAAAATGATACCCACGCTACACTTGTGCATTCGATTCACTTGACGTCCATGAGCAGATTTATCACCCTTGATGGCAATTTAGTCTCGGACAAGGTTGAAACTACTTTTCATCCTGAATGGGGTACCTTCTAGTGACACCCAAGGGCCGCATGAGAGTCTCATTTGGGCTACTCGTGGGCTGAACGACTGTTAGGCCTTGAAACTGCCGAAATCACAAAAAATGGACCACTTACCTACTTTCCCCTTAAGACTAAGAATAAATAATGAGCTTGTCGCATAGGATGATGTCTGCCTGATAGGCTAATTTCCCACACTGAAATGATTTAAACCTAAATATTTTACTCCTCCCTGGTCTCTTCGGAACCTGCATTCGTTGCAGGTTCGTTCGCGTTGAGTAATGACAGGTTAGCAAAAGAAGCATGTACATTTCCAGGTGGAATCGATATAGCTAGGGCCCAACTGTATTTGCCACTGCAATCAACGCCTACTTAATAATCCTTATGAGCAGGCGCTCAGTATATCAGAAGATCGTAACTAACATTATCTTTAGAAGTGGGTTGACCTCGTTGTCACAACTTGGTCTTGTTGTCCTGGAGACTTAGTAGAACACACCTAGTTCGAAGTACTCTGTCATAATAGTTATCATAATTCCTAACATCAGTGAACTTGGTGCATTCTCAAACAATTCGCCGGCATCATCAGTGAGTGCTGCCATTCTCCGCACCAAACTACGAATTCGTCAGAGAGACGGGTGAAGTCAATCCTTCCACCAACGTTTTGCCGAACACGGTTCCCATCTGATATTTTAAACTGTTGTAGACATGATATCAATCCTAAATTATGTAACCTTAAGAGACCCTACCACTCGGATAAACTTGATGCCTATCTTCAGCAGGCTTCTATTCAAAAACTAAGTGAGACTTATATTACATAGAGGAATATGCTGTTTAAGTTTATAGATATTAAGTCAAAACTCCGATGTGGTCTGGCCAGGATCCTGTTTCTGGAAGACTTTTAAAAACTCCAGAGCATGACCGACAGGAAGTCACGTATGATTTCTAACTTAATAACAAAACGGCATGACGATACATTGCGTAAATTTGGAATAATAAGACAGCCTAAGTTGAAGCCTCTACATCCAGTTGAAGTGGCTTCCGAGGTGATAACATCTACTAATGAGCACAGCGACCGGAGGAAAGTATTAATTAAACTTATCATAAATTCTCCTTAATCCCGAAACAACAGTGTTCTTGGAAAAAGGACTCCATTCTTCAATTTAACATCACAGAGCCTTCTAGGGGACATCATGGTGGAGGTTATTAATATCACCAACAAGTTCCCTGAGGAGACAAAACGGGAAATGGAGATGGAACTAATTCCAAAGATCTTGACACATCAGCAGCCTACACACAGGAACAGATTTGCCAGGATACGCAAAACCCTGGAAGCAAATGAAAAATTAGTTCTTCAGGCGGACAAAGGGGGAGATACAGGGATAATGGACAAAAACAATATACTGAGATGATGGAACATATCCTACGAGACAGGACCACATATCGTATACTAAACAAGGACCCAACTATGAAGATCAATGGAATCTTAAGTGGCATTCTGAAAGATATCTATAGGAATTGGGAAATTGACGCATAGACAATGAAGTCAATCATAAGAAAAGATGCACGACCACCAACAGCATACGGCTTACAGAAGATACACAAGGGGAGCCACTAAGGCTGATAGTCAACAACAAGTATAGAGCAACACACAAATTGGCAAAGTTTATATGCTTGAAACTCAAGAACCTAAATGAGAGGCTATCTAACACGATAAAACATTCATATGAATTTTCTAAAAAAATCAAAAACATGGAACTTAAAGAAACAGACTTATTGGTAAGTTTTGATGTGGAATCCATGTATACAAATATATATCTGGAGAAAATGCGCCAACGGCCCTGCTGGAAAGCCTAGACCGAGGATGATATCCTGGAATCACAACAGATCGGTAGGGAGTCGTTAACAAGACTAATCAACTTGACAATAAGGGCAAACTATTTTACATTCAATGGGAACATCTTTCAACAAATATTTGGACTTCCCATGGGATCGCTGCTCTCCACTTTTGGCAAACATATACAAGAACAGAATAAGAGAGAAGTTCAAGATGGCATCGCTACAACTAGCAGTGCTTATGTGGTACCTGGATGATTATTTCGTCACATGGAAGAGTTTCAGAAGTTTGTAAACCAGATTGATGAAAAAATTCAGTTCACGATGGAAGTAGAGGAAGGTGAGCAGTTACCGTTCCTGGTCGTTGAAATGATTCACTCTAATGGGATGCTCAAACAGAAATTGTTCAGAAAAAAGTCCTATGCTGGGATAATACTCAATTTCAGGTTCCATCACAATTACAGGCTAAAGATAGGAATAACGAGGAGCATGATCATCCGAAGCCTACGCCTAACGGATGTAGAATTATGAGACGAGGAGCTGCACAAATTGACGAGGATATTCCTCAGCAATAGCTTACCGATTGAACTGATACTAAGAAACATAGGAGCCGTGAAAAGCCCATGGCAGAACGGGGACTATGAAAGGACAGTAAGGATGATGACAGATTCATAAAAGTGGATATGACTACCTTCCTGCGAACCAAATCAAAAACCACGGCTAGTATTGAGATGGAATATTCGAGTGGCCATTTAAGAAAATGCAACATATTTCACAAGTCTACCCA